TGGAGGTTGCAATGGGTTGAGACTGCACCATTGCACTCCAGCCTGGGTGACAGAGTGAGACTCTGTCTCAAAAAAAAATAAATAAATACATAAATAAAAAGAAGAAATAGTAGTCTAGGTTGAATCTACGAACTGGCTTTTTTCTCTCAATCCCTAATAGCAGCTTTAGTTATCATTTACCCTTTTACATAAAAATTAAATGGAACACTCATACATTATGAGTAGAAATAAATATTAGTAAAAATTTTCTTGCAGTATGGATCCATTTTTAACAACAACAAAAAAGCCTGGAGGGTCCAGTGAGAAATATGAATCCATTTATTAAGACCTCTGGGCTGGGCACGGCGGCTCAAGCCTGTAATCCCAGCACTTTGGGAGGCCGAGACGGGCGGATCACGAGGTCAGGAGATCGAGACCATCCTGGCTAACCCGGTGAAACCCCATCTCTACTAAAAATACAAAAAATTAGCCGGGGGCAGTGGCGAGTACCTGTAATCCCAGCTACTCTGGAGGCTGAGGAAGGAGAATCGCTTGAACTTGGGAGGCAGACGTTGCAGTGAGCTAAGATAGCACCAGCCTGGGTGACAGAGCGAGACTCACTCTCACACACTCTCTCACATACACACAAACTTGTGAAATATTTAGTACACTAGTGAGATCTTCTGTAACCATTTTTAATATCTATCTTGCCACAGGACAGGGCTAACCTACAGAAAAATTGATTGCCTGAATTGTTACTACTTTCAAACTAAAAAAGAAGGGCACTACGAAGCAGGAGAATCACCTGAACCCGAGAGGCAGGGGCTACAGTGAGCCAGGAGCGCGCCACTGCACTCCAGCCTGGGTGACAGAGTGAGACTCCATCTTAAAAAAAAAAAACCAGCTACTCGGGAGGCTGAGGCAGGAGAATCGCTGGAACCCAGAAGGCAGAGGTTGCAGCGAGACAAGACTGAGGCACTGCATTCCAGTCTGGCAATAGAGCAAGACTCCGTCTCAAAAACAAACAAACAAACACACAAAAAAAACCCCACAATGCTCTAGACTTTCTAGTATATTTTCTGATATGTCAGAGTAAACAGGATATTAACAAAAGCAAAGCAAGTCCCACAATGATTTCCAAACATCTTGTATGTGATACTAACCTGTACCTCTGAAAATCTCCATGCCGTAAACCATGCTGCTGCTGGGATTCCTTAATAATCTGAAGAACTAGAGTCGACATTAAGGAAAATCTTACGATGGCAAGAACCCAAACAAATCAAAACCTGTACCATCAGTCTATATCTGTGTCAAACCACAACACATTAAACATTTGTGAAATACAGCCAGGTGCAGTGGCTCATGCCTGTAATCTCAGCACTTTGGGAGGCCGAGGCAGGTGGATCACCTGAGGTCAGCCTGCCAGCATGGTGAAATCCCATCTCTACTAAAAACACAAAAAATTAGCCGGGGGCAGTGGCGAGTACCTGTAATCCCAGCTACTCTGGAGGCTGAGGAAGGAGAATCGCTTGAACTTGGGAGGCAGACGTTGCAGTGAGCTAAGATAGCACCAGCCTGGGTGACAGAGCGAGACTCACTCTCACACACTCTCTCACATACACACAAACTTGTGAAATATTTAGTACACTAGTGAGATCTTCTGTAACCATTTTTAATATCTATCTTGCCACAGGACAGGGCTAACCTACAGAAAAATTGATTGCCTGAATTGTTACTACTTTCAAACTAAAAAAGAAGGGCACTACTGGCCACTGAAAACTGCCAAAATCCAGTTTAAATTAAGCTGACGGATTCTAAATGCTGACTATAATTGGGGTGCTTCACACCAGTTTACACCTGGACCCCACATTTTATTCATTCAAACAGATTCAGATTATAAATGACGTGTACTAAGCCTCCATTTGCATAATCTTCAACACCTGCCAAATCTAACTTTCCTTAACAGCTGTGATGCTTAGAGAGTCTATGATTAGCACATGTCAACCAAGTTAGGCCACAGTTTGCATAAAAGTATTAAGGTTTTTCTTTTAAAAGAAGAACGACTGACCAAATTCTCCTTTTAATAATCTTAAAATATTTAAGAATATGCACTAAACTTTAGAAAGTCCAATGACCTTCACCTATATAAGTACAGTTTTCTCTTAATGTTTCCTCAACGCTTCTCTAGAGACATATTTTAAAATAGTGAACACTAAAAGGACTCTTTCAATGACTAAAAAGGGACAAAGAGATATAAAGGTCTCAGTAAAATCAGGGCTTGCTAACGTCTACTTGGAACTATCATCACTAATTCAAAAAACTTCACTCCAAAGCCTTGAAAACTTTAAGTCCATTAAGATGTCAAGTTGAATTTCAGAAACTCGCCTACATTTTCTCCATCTGTTATTCATTTCAAAAGGTCACAAAATAGTACCACAAGCACTCGGTTGAGATACACACTGAGGAAAACTAGAAACCGATTCCTCCAGCTTATATGAATGACTGTCAGCAAGATAAAATGCCTACAGACCGATCATAAAAAAATGACAAGGGGACAAACGATATTAACTACGGTAACTTACAATTAAAATGGGCAACAAGCTTTTCCTCGGAGTCAATCTTTACCTCCACTTTCAAAGTATCAAGCTGTAGGTTTTACTACTCAGTCTACCACGACTGTCAGACAAGAGTATTAAGGGGGCCGGGCGCGGTGGCTCACGCCTGTAATCCCAGCACTTTGGGAGGCTGAGGCGGGCAGATCACGAGGTCAGGAGTTTGAGACCACCCTGACGAACACAGTGAAACCCCATCTCTACTAAAAATGCAAAAATTAGCCAGGTGTGGCATGCATGTCTGTAATCCCAGCTACTCAGGAGGCTGAGGCAGGAGAATCACTTGAACCCGGGAGGCGGAGGTTGCAGTGAGCCAAAATTGAGCCATTTCACTCCAGCCTGGATGACAGAGTGAGACTCTTAAAAAAAAAAAAAAAAAAAGTATTAAGCAGAATGTCAAGACTGCAGTTTCCTCTCCCCAGTTCAAGGTGCCAAAGCAAGGTGCTCAAAGTGTCACCTGGTCACAAGCCCTCCAACTGGACAACTGCGGGGTACCAGGGGAAACCTGCCTGATATCCCAGTGCCACTGGAAGAAAAGGACCTAGCCAGGAGGGCGAGGGGGACACTAGGAAAGACTAGTTGAGAGACAAACCCCCGGAATTCTGAGCACCAAAAAGTAAGGGCGAGAAAAACTGCGACCCTCGGCCTCTCCTGCCAGGACGTGCCGGGACCCGCCGCCTCTCCCGCCCCTAGTCCTCCAGATCGACACGTAGTCATTGCGAGTTAGGCCCGATTACTCTAGGATACTCTCCAAACTCAGGCTATCCCCAAATTCTTTGTTTGCCTTCGATCCGGCCGAAGGGCGTTCGTTTTCTTTATTTTCTTCCCCTCCGGCACCACGTCCACCGCCGCTACCGCCGCTGCCACTGCCACCGCCACCGCCGCCGCCGCCAGGGACCTGCTTCTCAGCAGCCATCTTGCCCCCGCGCCGCAGAGCAAGACGGGATAGGAGAGGCGGGACGACCCGGGCGGGTGAGAGCTGGACCTGCCTGGCCGGGCTGATGGGATAGCGGCGGACTCCGCTGCCGTCGGCTCTTGCAGCAGGGAACCATATGCTGGAGCGCGCCTGCGCGAGGGATCCTGGCATCCCGGGTCCGGAATTGTGGCGGGCTAGGTGGAGACTTGAGTCCGCAGTGAGACCGTGGCTGCTGAGATCTCAGACGTAGTCCCACCTCTCACCCACCAGGGGCAGAGAACCGGAGGTGGACCCCACGTCCTGCACCCTGGACTGGGGATCTGGCTCACGTCCTGCCCAGCAGAAAGCAGGAGACCAAAGCCACTGGATTTCGGGGTGTCTGCATCCCCAGGGACTCGAGAGATAGGGTTCTCCCCACCGGAACGGAACACCCCGTCCGTAAGGGACCCGCCTCTGCCTGCCCTTTCCTCTGAGGCTGACCACGAGAAAGCCAAGCCGGAGGAAGCGCTGAGCAGTCAGCAGACGGTGTCCTAAGTAAGCAGACGGACTTTCTGAGACCGCTTGGGACTGTGGACCCCTGCACTTTGGGGCCATCAGTCCAAAGAGGGAGAAGTGTTGATTCATGGGAAAATATGAATTTTTGCTCTGCACCTTCTACGGTCTGAGACCTGGGATTCCAATATCTGCTCCGTCATTAGCGGCAGGGAGATGTTGGGCAAGTAACTTAATCTCCCTGTAAGCCTGTTCCTTCATCTGTGAAATGGGGATAACCAATTTAAGTGGTTGTTATGAAGATTAAATGACAAGTTTTTGTTTTTTGTTGTTGTTGTGTTTTGAGACGGAATTTCGCTCTTGTTGCCCAAGCTGGAGTGCAATGGCTTGATTTGGGCTCACTGCAACCACTGCCTCCCGGGTTCAAACCATTCTCCTGCCTCAGCCTCCCGAGTAACTGGGATTACAGGCGCCTGCCACCACGCCCGGCTAATTTTTGTATTTTTAGTGGAGACGGGGTTTCACCATGTTGGCCAGGCTGGTCTCAAACGCCTGACCTCAGGTGATCCGCCTGCCTTGGTCTCCCAAAGTGCTGGGATTACAGGCGTGAGCCACCGTGCCCAGCCTCAGAGGTCAGGCATTCAAGACCAACCTGGCCAACATGGTGAAACCCCGTCTCCACTAAAAATACAAAAGTTAGCCAGGCATGATGGTGGGCGCCTATAACCCCAGCTACTCTGGAGGCTGAGCATTCAAAACTCGGAAGGTGGAGGTTGCAGTGAGCTGAGATTGGGCCACTGCACTCCAGCCTGGGTGAGGGAGTGAGACTGTCTTAAAAAAAAAAAAAACACGTAAGTGTCTGGCCAGGGTGCAAATGGATCACACCTGTAATGACCTTTGGAGCAAGGCTGAGATTGCTTGAGGCCAGGAGTTATACCAGCCTGGCATACCATGGTGAGACCCTGTTCTCTACAAAAAAAAAAAAATTAGCCAGGAGTGGGGCACCCACTGTAGTTCCAGCAACTTGAGAGGCTGAGATAGAAGGGTTTTACTGGCCAGGGTTTGAGGGTTCAGTGGTTAGGTCATTGCACTGCACTCCAGGATGGGGATGAACAACCTGTCTCTAAAATGTAATACCGTTCAGGGCGGGTGGATCTTCCCACCGGTACATCCGCCTTTGGAAGCCAAGGGGCAGGTGGATTACAAGGCTCAGGAGTGGAGGACCATCCTGGCTACGTGTGAACCCCGTTCTCTAAAATACAAAAAAAAATTAGCCAGGCGTTGGTGGTGGGCCTGTGTCCAAGTACTCGGGAGGTAAAGGGGCGGAGATGCATGGACCTGGGTAGGGCAGGCTTACAGTCGAGCTGGATCATGCACTGCCTCCAGTCCTGGGGGCAGAGCAAGCTCTGTCTCAAAAAAAAAAAAAAAGGCCGGGCGCGGTGGGCTCAAGGCCTGTAATCGACTTTGGGGGCCGAGACGGGCGGATCCCGCAGTCAGGAGTCGGACCATCCGCTTTAGCACCGTGAACCGTCTTTACTAAATTACAAAAAACTGCCGGGCAAGGTGGCGGGCGCTGTAGTCCCAGGCTCCGTCGGGAGGCTGAGGCAAGGAGAATGGCGTTATAACCTGGGAGGCGGAGCTTGCAGTGAGGCTGGAGATCCGCATGCCTCAGGCCTTTGGGCGACAGAGCGGACTCGTCTCCAAAAAAAAAAATAAAAAAAAAAAAAAGGTATAATCTATTTAAAAAAGTTTAGTTTTCCCAAATGTTCATTGATAAAAGTGAATGGAAAATAGGATGTGGTATGCGATACAATGGATATTATTTGACCATAAGAAGAGTGAAGTGGAGTGCGTGGCTTCATGGCCATTATCCGCCTTTGGGATGGCCAGGCAGGTGGCTCCTTGAGGGCAGGAGTTAAACCAGCCTGGCCACCGGAGTAAACCCATCCCCTACTAACACACAAATTGCCAGGGTGTGGGCATGGCATGTCCTTGTTATCCCCAGCTTATCAGGGAGGCTGAGCGAGATCTTGAACGGGAGGGCAAATGAGTGTTGAGTGGGCTGGATCCTGCCACTGTATACAGCCTGGGCAAACAGTGAAACTCTGTCTCAAAAAAAAAATAAAAAAAAAAGGAGTGAAGTACTGATTATGCTACAATGTGGATGAACTTTGAAAACATCACGCTAAGTGAAAGAAGCCACACACAAAAAAGGCCACATATTGTATGATTTTGTTTATATGAAATGTTAAGTATAGGCAAATCTGTAGAGACAAAAAGTAGATTGGTGGTTATCTGGGCCTGTAGAGATGGGGTGGGGATGGAGATGGGAGATTCGAGGCTAAAGGCTAATAGGTGTGAGTTTCTTTTGGTGGGGAAGAAAATGTTCTAGAAGTGGCCGGGTGCGGTGTCTCAAGCCTGTAATCCCAGCACTTTGGGAGGCCGAGACGGGCGGATCACGAGGTCAGGAGATCGAGACCATCTTGGCTAACACAGTGAAAACCCGTCTCTACTAAAAAATACAAAAAACTAGCTGGGCGAGGTGGCGGGCGCCTGTAGTCCCAGCTACTCGGGAGGCTGAGGCAGGAGAATGGCATAAACCCAGGAGGCGGAGCTTGCAGTGAGCTGAGATCTGGCCACTGCACTCCAGCCCGGGCGACAAAGCGAGACTCTGTCTCAAAAAAAAAGAGAAAATGTTCTAGAAGTGATTGTGGCAACTGTCGCACAACTCTGTGAATGTACTAAAAGCCAAATGAACACTTTAAATGGGTAAATGGTATGATATGTGAATTATATTTCTTTTATCTTTTTTTTTTTTTTTTTTTTGAGATGGAGTCTCACTCTGTCACCCAGGCTGGAGTGCAGTGGTACAATCACGGTTCATTGCAACCTCTACCTCCCAGGTTCAAACGATTCTTCTGCCTCAGCCTCCCGAGTAGCTGGGACTACAGGTGTGTGCCACCATGCTCGCGTAATTTTTTTTTTTTTTTTTTTAGTAGAGTTGGGCTTTCACCATATTGGCCAGGCTGGGCTCGAACTCCTGACCTCATGATTCGCTCACCTCGGCCTCCCAAAGTGCTGGGATCACAGGCGTGATACGTGATACATGAATTATATTTCAACAAAGCTGTTACCAAAAAAGTGGGATCATGTTAGTCCTCTAGTCAAAACCAGGCACTGCCACCTCATTTTACGCAGACTACATGCCACAATCCTTAGACTGGGGGAGAAAAAAATCCCTCACATCTCCTACCAATCCCCTTGCTGGCTCAACTCAGGTCACACCGGCTTCCCTGCCTCAGGAACACAGGCGCGCTCCTACATTATGGCCTTTGCACTGGCTTTGGTCTCTCTCTGAAATGCTTTTCTGGCCAGGCACGGTGGCTCATGTGTATAATCCCAGCACTTTGGGAGGCTGAAGTGAGGACTGCTTGAGCCCAGGAGTTTGAGACCAGCATGGGGAACATAGGGAGACTCCATCTCTAAAAAAAAGAAAAGAGGCTGAGCACGGTGGCTCACGCCTGTAATCCCAGCACTTTGGGAGGCCAAGGCAGGTGGAACACCTGGGGTCAGGAGTTTGAGAACAGCCTGAGCAACATGGTGAAACCCCATTCTACTAAAAATACAAAAAATTAGCTGGGTGTGGTGGCGCATGCCTGTAGTCCCAGGTACTCGGGAGGCTGAGGCAGGAGAATTGCTTGAGCCCTAGAGGCAGAGGTTGCAGTGAGCTGAGATCGTGCCACTGCACTCCAACCTGGGTGACAGAGTAAGACTCCGTCTCAAAAAAATAAAAAAGAAAGAAAAGAAATGCTCTTCCCCTACATATTCCCTTTGCTAGCCCCTCACTGCCTTCAAGTCTTTGCTCAAATGTCAACTTAATGAGGTCTGCGTGACCACTCTACTTTAAATTGTACCATCACCACCATCGTGGTGCTCCCAAATCCCCTTACTCTAAACTGCTTTTCCCGCAAGCACTTATCAACTTGCAATACTTAATACGTTATGTTTACTGTATGTCTCTGTTGCTAGAAAGTTCACGGAGGACCTTGATCTTCGTAGAGCTCACTGGTATAGTATATCCTAAGGACACATAACTGCCTGGAAAGGAGCAGCTGCTTAATAAATATTTGTCGAATAAATAAATGGTGAGCATCTCATAAACACAAACTGTTATCTTCTTCCTGTTCAATGAGTAGGCAGGCAGGGCAGGAGTGTGAATAAGGTTTCCTTACCAAGAGGAGGAGGTAATTGGGCTTCTGAGAGACTTTTTCCTTGGGGGAAAAAAAGAGGAAAAATAATATTCTTGACACTGGGCCCCAGGGACCAGAACAGGGGAAGGTGAGGCAGCTATGAAGTTGCAGAGACAGAAGGTGGTGATTTTCAGACCCAGTGAACTGGGAGGCTTAAGTTCTACTTAAATAGTAATGATTCGTTGTCCCAAATGCTTGTTGCAGAAACAAATGTTTACATTTTATTGCAACCTAAACACCATCCAGGGAAATGCTGCTTGTGTGTGGAACTCTACTGTTTTGAATTTCCTCAAGGTATACAGAATAAAGTCAGGAGAAAAAGAAGAAGGATCTGAGATCTGATCTATTCAGATTTAACTAACTGGGTTCAGGCCTCTGCCATACATCTCATTCCTTTCTCAGCAGATCCCTCTGAGAAGGAAGTGTTACCATTTCCTTGTTACAGCTGAGGAAACTGAGGGACGGCGCCAAAGACAGAGCCTGACACAATACATGCTCAATATATTGGATTGAATTGGAGGGAAAACGTTCAATGGGTAAGAGAAGGGAAAAAGGTGGACCGGCGCGGTGGCTCACACCTGTAATCCCAGAACTTTGGGAGGCCAAAGCGGGCGGATCACTTGAGGTCAGGAGTTTGAGCCCAGCCTGGACAACATGGTGAAACCCCGTCTCTACTAAAAATACAAAAATTAGCCAGGCGTGGTGGCGGGCGCCTGTAATCCCAGCTACTCGGGAGGCTGAGGCAGGAGGATCCTCTTGAACCTGGGGTGGGGGAAGCGGGGCGGGCGGAGGTTGCAGTGAGCCGATATCGTGCCACTGCATTCCAGCCTGGGCGACAGAGTGAGACTCTGTCTCAAAAAATACAAATACAAATACGAAAAAACTAGCCAGGCTTGGTGGGCCTGTAGTCCCATCTACTCAGGAGGCCGAGGCAGGAGAACAGTTTGAACCGGGGAGAGGGAAGTTGCAGTCAGCCAAGATCGCTCAGCTGCACTCCAGCCTGGGCGAGAGCGCCATACTCCAGGACCCCTCATCCGCCTCCGCCCCGTGTCTCCTCCCCTCATCTCCCAGGGGTCCCCTTTTGAGGGCACCCACACACCTCGACGGTCCAGGGAAGTCCCGCACGCCTGCCAGGCTGCAGCGAAGCACCGAGGCGCGCGGGGTGCAAGGCTGGTGGTCCCTGTGGCGCAGTGCACACGCAGAGTCCGGGGTCGACCCCTCCACCGCTCCGGCGTCTGCTGGGGAAGTCAGTCCGCCTGGTCAGCCCAGAACCCCCGAATCCGGGGGCTGGAGCTCGGGAGCAGGCACAAGCGCCACTCTCCGCCTGCGCCGTGGAATGCGCGTCAGGACCACTTGGCAGCCCTTCCCCCAGCGCCGCCGGCCGCTGCTGGGGACAACCTCACGCTCCGGTCTCTTGCTCCTCCTCCTGACCCCAGCGCACCCCCATCCCCGCCCCAGATGCAGCGAGGCTCCCTCCGCCTTCAGCCCGCCAGAGTCGCACTAGGAGTTACAGCGGCCGCAGCCCCGGGACCTTCCCGCTCACGGAGACCCAGACGGCTGCAGGAGCCCAGGCAACCTCGGGGTTGACGGCACCATGAACGTCTCGGGCTGCCCAGGAGCCGGGAACGCGAGCCAGGTGGGCGGCGGGGGCGGCTGGCACCCCGAGGCGGTCATCGTGCCCCTGCTCTTCGCGCTCATCTTCCTCGTGGGCACCGTGGGCAACACGCTGGTGCTGGCGGTGCTGCTGCGCGGCGGCCAGGCGGTCAGCACCACCAACCTGTTCATTCTCAACCTGGGCGTGGCCGACCTGTGTTTCATCCTGTGCTGCGTGCCCTTCCAGGCCACCATCTACACGCTGGACGGCTGGGTGTTCGGCTCGCTGCTGTGCAAGGCTGTGCACTTCCTCATCTTCCTCACCATGCACGCCAGCAGCTTCACGCTGGCCGCCGTCTCGCTGGACAGGTGAGCCAGCGCCCTGGCCTCCCTGGGAGATGGGCATCCACTCGGGGGATGGAGCGGGAGGCGGGACCGGGGGATCAAGAAGGGATGCGCAGAGTGGGACAGGACTTTAAGAAGGCAGTGGAAGACAAGCGGGCGCGGAGGAGGAGAAAGAGGAAATAGAATGGGGGACCGTGGTGTCCCCTCGGTTAGGTTCGTCCTGGGGCCTGGAAGCCTGGAGAATGTGGCTCTCCAGCGCCGCCCTCGCCTGACAACGCGCAGCATTTCCCGGTACGACGCGTTTGTGCGCGTTCGTCTAGCTTGAGCTTAATGCCCCCGTGAGAGTGGGATAGGACAAAGTGCCCAATGTACAGAAGAGTTGAGTTCCTAAGTAACTCGCTCAGAGTCGCCAGCCAGGGATCCGGTGCATAAAGTGACTGTCTCCTGCAGCCAACTTCAGTCACCTCCACTGCACTCGCCTCCAAGCCACAGTTTGGTTGGTTGGTGTGGTCGGCTCAGGTCCAGGCTGTGGATCTTGGTTCCTTTGCGAGGACCCCCGCCGAAGTCCCAGCAAGCGCGCCTAAAGGTCCCTAGCTCAGTCCCAGCCACTCTGCCCCTCGCCTCCAAACAAAACAAAACCAAAAACAAGTCAGGGGTGGGGAGAGGAGCGTGCCCTGGGGTTCTCCAGCCAGAGGAGAGCGAGAGAGGCACAGTCGGGAGAGCGCGGGACTCAGGTGAAGCTTGAAATGACACTAGGATGGTTCCTGGGGAGGAAATCTGCGTATCTTCCCCTCTCCCTTCTCCAGAAAAACGGAGGTGAGGCCAGACTCCCCCCACACCTCCTGTAGCCACTGAGCGGGAAGTGCGTTGGTTCCCAGCACGCTGGTGGGATCCACAAAGCTCGGATTCTCTCAGGAATCCCACGAGAAACTGACTGTCCCTTGCCCAACATGTCTTCTCCAGGCTGTCTGCTATAGCCTCAGGCGCCTCCCCACTCCCTCCCGCGGCACCGTCACTAGTGGGTAGTCACAGCCTCCCGGAGCCCATAGCCGGTTCTCCAACCTTTAGTCTTCGGTGACTTTGGGATGCCCTCTCAGTGGAGTCCGTCCGTGGTTGCAGTCCCCGGGGGCAGCGGGAGAATGGCTTGGAGGCGCACCTTTCCCGCTGCCGGGCCCGCCGCATTTCCAGGCTCCGCTCAGTGTCTGGGACGCGCTGGGACGCCCCCACCTACACCCTCACCCCCACCTCCGGTGTGTGCGGTGTAACCATGCGTTAAGGACCTTCCTCGAGAGTGACCGTGGGGCCCGAGTGCCGGGGTCGCGACCTGCCAGCGCTCAGCCGACGTCTCCCTTCCCGGCTTGACCGCAGGTATCTGGCCATCCGCTACCCGCTGCACTCCCGCGAACTGCGCACGCCTCGAAACGCGCTGGCAGCGATCGCGCTCATCTGGGGGCTGTCGCTGCTCTTCTCTGGGCCCTACCTGAGTTACTACCGCCAGTCGCAGCTGGCCAACCTGACCGTGTGCCATCCCGCGTGGAGCGCCCCTCGCCGCCGCGCCATGGACCTCTGCACCTTCGTCTTCAGCTACCTGCTTCCGGTGCTGGTTCTCGGCCTGACCTACGCGCGCACCCTGCGCTACCTCTGGCGCGCCGTCGACCCGGTGGCCGCGGGCTCGGGTGCCCGGCGCGCCAAGCGCAAGGTGACACGCATGATCCTTATCGTGGCCGCGCTCTTCTGCCTCTGCTGGATGCCCCACCACGCGCTCATCCTCTGCGTGTGGTTCGGCCATTTCCCGCTCACGCGCGCCACTTACGCGCTTCGCATCCTCTCGCACCTGGTCTCCTACGCCAACTCCTGCGTGAACCCCATCGTTTACGCGCTGGTCTCCAAACACTTCCGCAAAGGCTTCCGCAAGATCTGCGCGGGCCTGCTGGGCCGTGCCCCACGCCGAGCCTCGGGCCGCGTGTGCGCTGCCGCGCCGGGTACCCACAGTGGCAGCGTGCTGGAGCGCGAGTCCACCGACCTGTCGCACGTGAGCGAGGCGGCAGAGGCCCTTCATCCCTGCCCCAGCGCTTCCCAGCCGTGCGCGCACCCTCGAGCCTGGTCCCGGCCCCGTCTTGGCGGGGCCCAAAGGCAGGCAACAGCATCCTGACAGTTGATGTGACCTGAAAGCACTTAGCGGGCACGCTTGGATGTTACAGAGTTGGAGTCATTGTTGGGGGACTGTGGGGAGAGCTTTGCCTGTTAATAAAACGCACAAACCATTTCACATGCAGCGACAGCGCTGTTTCGAGTTTCTCATTGTCTTGAGACTCTGTGGGAAGCCTCTGGGGCTTCACAGAGGGGCTCCCTAGGGGTGAGTGCAGGACCCTTTGCAGAGCTACCAGGAAAGAGGGCTGACCACACCTAAGGCAGCCGGGTTACAATCCGCATAAAAATCTGAGCCTGGGGAGCGTGCGACAGAGGCAGGCAGACTGTTTTAGGCGTTCAATAAAGTCGGTCGATGACAGACACAGATGTGTGTTCCCAGTCGCATTTGTGCTCTGGTGTGTAACAGATCTGTCCTCGCCTGCTTCCAACTCCCAGGGCCCCTTTGAGTCTGGACAGCCCAGTCAGTCCCCGTCCATTTTTGGCCTTAGCTTTTCCTTCCCTCGCTGCAGCTGGGCCAGGATCAAGTCTCCAGGGGCTGTTTCACTCCAGATAGAACTCCCTTCCCAGAGGCTTTTTTTTGGTTTCTGTGTTGTTGTTTTTGTTTGTTTTCTGAGATGGAGTTTTGCTCTTGTTGCCCAGGCTGGAGTGCAATGGTGCAATCTTGGCTCACTGCGACCTCTGCCTCCCAGGTTCAAGTGATTCTCCTGCCTCAGTCTCCCAAGTAGCTGGGCTTACCACCATGGATACTAATACAGCTGATTTCTGTATTTTTAGTAGAGACAGGGTTTTACCATATTGGCCAGGCTGGTCTCAAACTCCTGACCTCAGCCTCCTTCAAAGTGCTGGGATTACTGGGATTACCAGAATTCTTTTGTTCTTTTTTTTTTTCTTTGGGGTGTGTGTGGTGGGGGGAGGGAAGGCAGAGTCTGGCTCTGTAGCTCAGACTGAAGTGCAGTGTTGTGATCTTGGCTCACTGCAACCTCCACTTCCTAGGCTCAAGTGATCCAGCTTCAGCCTCTCCAGTAGTTGGGACTACAGGTGCATGCCACCATGTCCAGCTAATTTTTGTGTTTTTGATAGAGACAGAGTCTCCCTATGTTACTCTGGTCTCAAAGCCCTGGGCTCAAGCAATCTGCCCTCCTTGGTCTCCCAAAGTGCTGAGATTACAGGCATGAGCCACCATGTCTAGGGTTCTTGAGCCAAGGCTCTTTACACAAAATCACTTCAGTGTTTAAGGAGAGCAGGGAGACTCTCAAGGCTGTCCCCATCTCACATCATTGAGCACAGAACACTCATCAAGGGTTTGGGTCTTAGGTAGGTTGGTGTCAGCCACTGAAACGCAGGGGACACCCGTGGGCCCTGATTGGAAGGACAAAATCGGGGAGAGGTAGAGGTCTTACACCTGCCAGGTCCCCCTGGGCAGGCATTGAGCGTCGCAACGGGTTCCAGGTGGTAGAAATGGAGCGGGACAGGGACACCAAGGCAGCTGCAGTGTGGGCGGGGCTGGGTCCTGGGCTTTATCTTTGGGTGTTTGCGGAACTGGGGCAGGGGCTGCCAAGTCCACGGCTCCAGGGTCCTTGCCCAGAGCAGCTGCCTCTGACCAATTGCTCAGCTGCCGGAGAAGTGACTAGAACAGAGGTTGTAGCTTAGGCACTGTTGCTCCTTCCAGTCCCTCCGTGCAGTTGATGATGGCCCTGTGGCCCCTGCTCCATCTCACCTTCCTGGGGTTCAGCATCACCTGGCCCTTGGTCCATGGGCAGGGCTTCCAAGAGACAGCAGCCGGTAGGTGGAGGGCAAGGTCATAAGCTTTGCGATGGGCCCTAGGGCACCTGAGTGACCTTGACCTTTATCGCTCAGTCTGGCCATCCCTCTTCAACGTCAGCTTGCCCCAGAAGGCTCAGGAAAGCATCCAGATTCCAAACAATGGGAGTGCACCCCTGCTCGTGGACGTGCAGGTGTTTGTCTCCAATGTGTTTAATGTGGTAAGTGCCGCTAGGCCAAGGGCCCTAAGTGCTGGGCTGGGCAGGAGACAGGACTCAGCCCTGGATAGTGCTGGGGTCTCCTGCCGTGTTCGTGTTCTGCCAACACAGCGCTCACCCTGAGGTGACGCACTGCCCTTCCCTCAGGACATCCTGCGATACACAATGTCCTCCATGCTGCTGCTTAAGCTGGTGAGCTCCTATCCCCGGGGAGGTGGGATGGGAAAGCCCAGCTGAGTCCAGCTCAGAAGTACCAGCCTTCATCAACATGCTGAGCTTGGGGGCATGGATACGTGGAGATCAGGAGCCTCAGTGGTGCCCTTGTGTCCCCAGTCCTGGCTGGACACGCGCCTGGCCTGGAACACTAGTGCACACCCGTGGCATGCTGTCACGCTACCCTGGGATTCTCTCTGGACACCAAGGCTCACCATCCTGGAGGCGTAAGTGAAACAGTTTCTGCCCCAGGAATCTGCGGTGCATAGCCCTCCTTTTCCTCATCTACAACCTAGAGGCTGGGTGAATATGCCCCTCCTGGCAGTCCCTGCCAGACTAGCAGTGCATCTCTACTGCCTCTGTGGTTGGGGGTGGGATGCCAGGGTCTCCCCTGGCCCTGTCCAAGGGGCTGGGGCTCTGGCTGTGGTACCTTTCCCCACAGGCTCTGGGTGGACTGGAGGGACCAGAGCCCACAGGTCCGAGTAGACCAGGACGGCCACGTGAAGCTCAATCTAGCCCTCACCACGGAGACCAACTGCAACTTTGAGCTCCTCCACTTCCCCCGGGACCACAGCAACTGCAGCCTCAGTTTCTATGCTCTTAGCAACACAGGTGCTGACAGGGCAGGGGCTGCAGGGTTGGGGAGGGGAGGAGGAAGGTGGGGAAAGGGAACTCCTAGGTCTGTGGTGCAGGGCAGAGGGAAGGGGAGAAGGCAGACGGAAAGGGAATGCCCAGGTCTGTGTTCAGAGCAGTCTACCCCAGGTTTAGGTGGGCAGCACCTGCTCTCCCACTGCGCCCCCTACTTGAGGGGCAGCCCCTCTCTGCGCTCAGCGGTAGCCTCAGGGCTCCTCTCTAGGGTGACAGACTCAAAGATTCGCAGCAGTTCTGCAATCCTAGAGGTCCGAGCACATCAGTCTTCTGTCCTCCCCGGAGCAACTGCCCTCCACAGCCATGGCCTGACCGCAGTGGCTCAGCCCCTTGCAGCAAGGCCAGAGGCTCAGGATGCTGTGGCCTCACTCCTGGAAACCACCTGAAGGTGCAGCCACCCTGTATAAACCCATTGGGTGACATCTAACTTGGCAAAGAAGTCCTACTCTTCCCTCCGTGAGAGACCACAGTCGTAGCCCTGGGGATCCTGCTTCAGGTGTGAGATGATAGACTGGCGAACCTGTGACCAGTTCTCCCTCCACCATGAAGTGGTGCAAAGTATTTATTTTTACAATGAAAGCTCATCTATGAATCTGATAAAGGCCTTCCTTTAACTGGAGACGATTTGGGATGTTGCAAAACAAGGTTTGGGAAGCCCATCTACGGACTGGTTTTTTTTTTTTTTTTTTTTTTTGAGACAGAGTCTCGCTCTGCCGCCCAGGCTGGAGTGCAGTGGCCGGATCTCAGCTCACTGCAAGCTCCGCCTCCCGGGTTCACGCCATTCTCCTGCCTCAGCCTCCCGAGTAGTTGGGACTACAGGCGCCCGCCACCGCGCCCGGCTAGTTTTTTGTATTTTTTAGTAGAGACGGGGTTTCACCGTGTTAGCCAGGATGTTCTCGATCTCCTGACCTCGTGATCCGCCCGTCTCGGCCTCCCAAAGTGCTGGGATTACAGGCTTGAGCCACCGCGCCCAGCCAACGGACTGGTTTTGTCTCCAAGTCTGTCCCTGCCAAAAGCCATCAACAGTCTCCATCACCCCTGGGCTCCAGTCTGCTACCCCCAGACTTGGCAGCTGGGATCTCTCCTTCCTAGTTCATAGTTCTCATTCCCACCCCTCAGCGATGGAGTTAGAGTTCCAGACCCACGCGGTGAACGAGATTGTGAGTGTCAAGAGGGAATACGTAGTTTATGATCTGAAGACCCAAGTCCCACCCCAGCAGCTGGTGCCCTGCTTCCAGGTGAAGGTGAGTCAAGTCGGGAGGAGACCAACAGAGGCCTGCTGGAGGTGGGTGGGGGTGAGGATGCAGGGCCAGAGGCCAAGCCCCATGCCCCCACTGCCCACCTCCTTCCTCCCACTGGAAGGCCCTGGCTTTTCCCCTTCCAGATGAGCCTGAAGAACACAGCACTCAAGTCCATCATCGCTCTCTTGGTGCCTGCAGAGGCGCTGCTGCTGGCTGACGTGTGCGGGGGGCTGCTGCCCCTCCAGGCCATTGAGCGCATAGGCTACAAGGTGACATTGCTGCTGGGCTACCTCGTCTTCCACTCCTCCCTGGTGCAGGCCCTGCCCAGCTCCTCCTCCTGCAACCCACTGCTCAGTAAGCCCTGCTACCTCACCCAGCCTGCCGTTTCTCCCCCGTCACCCACTGCTGCTCAGCTTGCTGAGGGACGGGCCCCTGAGCATCTCCCCGTGCCCTGCCTCCCCCAGTTTACTACTTCACCATCCTGCTGCTGCTGCTCTTCCTCAGCACCATGGAGACTGTGCTGCTGGCTGGGCTGCTGGCCCGGAGCAGCCTTGGGGCCAAAAGCAGCCCCAGCCCAGCCCCAAGAGGGGAACAGCAAGAGCATGACAACCCAGGGCCTCATCCTGAAGGTGGGCAGGGGCTGGGGGGTAAGGAATGAGGCCTAGGTGCATACCTAGGGCTGGGGTGAGGGTGCGGGGGGTTCAGGCGTGCATAGAAGCTCCTTGCATCTACCCTGCTGGCTCTCCTATCCCTGGTCTCCACCATGTCCTCCCCCCTTAGAAGAAACAGGTCTGGGGCAGGGAGCAAGCTTAGCCTCCCTGACGTCCCAGGTGACCTCAATCCCCTGATAACCCACACCTTGCACAGCCTAAGAGGGTGTTTCTTTAACTGAAGATGGCCTGAAATGGGCCAGACCCAAATTTTCATCAGCTGAGAATCTAAGAAAGGGAGAGATACAAGCTGATGACCCCTGTGGTTCACTCTTCTGCTCATGTTGGGGGGACCTTGAAGAACAGCTCCTTTCCCTGTATCTCTCCCCACAGAGTCCCCCAGAGGAGTAAAGGGGTCACAGAGAAGCTGGCCTGAGACTGCTGACCGCATCTTCTTCCTCGTGTATGTGGTTGGGGTGCTATGCAGCCAATTCATCTTCGCTGGAATCTGGATGTGGGCAGCGTGCAAGTCTGGCCCAGCCCCTGGAGAGGCTGCACCCCATGGCAGGCGGCCTAGACCGTAACGGGGCAGGGCCTGGGCTGCACACCTGAGGATGAAGTTTGCTTTCCCATGGCTGGGGGAGGGCCATGGCAGGGTCTCTGGATGAAGCCAGGCTGAGCTCCCCCTCTGTAAGCACACAAGCAGAGTGTGAAATAAACCCATCTCCAGTGCAAGTGTGCCTCAAGGGTCAGTCTTCATTCTTGTCCTAAATAGGCGGGGTCCTATTTTTTGCTTCCAACTCTCACTTTGCTCCTGAACTTTTCCCCATTGTCCCTGTCTCCCAGCCCATAGGCAGGCAGCCTAACTGCTCCTTTGGCAACGACGACTGTTTGGCTCTGGGCCAGGAGGCACTGAGGCTGGGGACCAGAGACAGGCGCTTGAGGAAGGCTGCAGAGGGTGGGATGGAACTCCTCCTCCGAACACCTCCTGCAGTGTGCTGGACTCTAGGGAAAATGGCCAGTGAGTCTGCCTCCTCCAGCCACCTAGGGAACTCCTAGGAGGGAAAGGTCCCAGACCTCAGGCCTGTGGGCGAGCGAGAATGTGTTTTAAGAGAGGGCGTCAATGCTGACTGCCTTTCCTCCAGGTGCTCTAGCTGCTTCTCTAGCTGCTTCTCTGAGCCCTACCACATCTCTGGGCTGTAGGGGAGTTCTCTGTTCTGACCTAGGCTGGAGGTAGGGCCATTCTGCCCTGCTGCTCTTGGTACACATGGGACAGCAGTGGGCACAGGCCTCTGTCTTCCTTCTCTCCTTTCCTGTTTCAGAAGCCATCTGGGTCATAAAAGCCAAGGTGTGAAGGGACCCCAGGCTTCCCAGAGAGTGCTGGTTCGGCTGGAAACACGGGCTGTGGGGAGAAAGTGGAAACCAGGACTAGAGGGCTCAGGGACACAGCTCCTGGATGGGGTGGTGGAGACAGGTCTCTGTCCCTAAGGACTTCAAGCTCACCCAGCCCAGAGACAAGTTAACACTGGTTTATCTGTCCAATGACATGCCAGTCTGGTGGAACCAGGCAGGGCTAGCAGGAGGCTCAGGCAGAGGTGTCGAAAAGGCGATCGATCATGTCGCCCACCTGCTCCACGCCGTACTTGATGTACTTCTCTGGGTTCTTGGTGAAGGGTACGCTGCCGAACCTGAGGGGGCACTGTGGTCAGGGGACGGAGGGCCACCCTCCCCAGCTCCACCCTCAGCCTAAGGCACTCCTGACAGTCTCTTGGAAGGGGTGGCCCTGAGTGATTCCCTGTCTGGTCCCGCCCCAAAGCCCAGGGCACTGGATCTGCTGCCTAAACCCCCCACCCTTCTCCTTTTTCCCTTGAGGAAGAGGAGCTTGAAGAGGCCCACTGGGGCTGTGGGCAGCACAGGCTGGGAGAGGGAAATGGAAGGCTCACTTCTGTAGAAAGGCCCCGTAGGTCTCCTTGACAATGGTCTTCTGGGCCTGGCGAATCCTGTCCCTCTGCTCTGTGTCTGGAATAGCCCAGGCCTTCTGGATTTTGCACAGTTCTTCGAGGCCATCATTGAAGCCCTGGCCACCAAAAAGGTGAAAAAGGAAGGGACCCAGAGACAAACATTTTGGATGTGTGTTGCCTCAACAGTAGCAGCAAGCAGTGGAGGGGAGAGGACCCCGACTCACCTTAAAACGTTCCTTGATAATCTGCCGCTCCTTGTCCCGGAGCTGGGAAGCCAGGAGAGACGGCAGAGAAAGCTCACTTTAGAGCCCAGTGGCCTGCCCCCACTCTTCCCCAAACCCCCTTGGCCTGGGCCTCTCTCCTGTGTCCTGATGGACGCATGCATCCTTTGCTCTCTGATCCCAGAGGGATGCTTGTCCACTTTTTCACCGAGACACGACAAAAAGTATCCCATCTGCTAGACACCCCTTCCCAGCCCAGGCCTTGAGCCCACCTTGACTCCCGGCTGGAACACAGGTAGATTCTTCTCTGCGATGTAATCGGTCACCTTTAACCAACTGCCAGACAGAAAGAGAAGTGTGAGGGCAGGGGGCGGCCTACCTCAGTGGCCTGGCTTGTTTCATTTGCTAAATCTCTGGATCTACTTGGTGGGTGGTGGTAGGAAGGCATATGGGTCACACCTAAGCAAAACAACAGATTTTCTTCCTGGGAATAGAAAATCTTTAAACTGGTCACTTTCTGAGAAAACATAAAGAAACACTTGAGTGTTCAATAAATTGAACAAATACCATCAACTATACTTTACATCAATATCATGGCAAATTAAGATGGAGAAACATGAGAAAGAAAGGAGTGAAGGGCAGAAGAATGAGAAGGAAGAGGGAGACACATTCAAAGGGAAGAAACAAGGCCAGGAAGAAAGAGGACCAGAGAAGCAGAGGGATCCCCACAGACCAAGGCTCAGCCAAGTTCAAGTGCTCTCGTGACCTTGCTTTTCTCCTGGGGTAAACATTACCCACGTCTCTGACAGTCAGCTCTTCAATCATTCTTAGCCTTGACACTTGGCAGACTCCCCTCTACAGTGGTGACAGTGGGCCCCTAGGAGCAGGTAGTGGTGGAGGAGGGGGGCTTCTCTCTCCGGCCCGTGAGTTTGATTAGAAACCAAGTGGAGGATTAGGGTCCAGAGGACAGGAGTTCCCCATGACCGACCCTGTGTCCTGAGGTGCTGAGAAGGAAGAGTGCGTGGTGGCATGGGGCAGGGTGAGGGCTAAGACGGCTGGGGGCCTATGCAGGAGCAGGGCGGGCCCAGCCTCTCACCTGCGCTGGTAGGTCTGGATCTGCTGCTCAATGTGCTCCCGGTAGGAGCGCTCGGCAGTCTTCTGTGTCACTGCCACCAGCTGGATCAGTTCAGACCTGGGTGGGGGTAGGGGACAGAGGAGAAGGGGCAGGACTGGCTCCTCACACCCAAAGACTGCAGCAATGCTGGGAGGGCCTCCCATTGCACCCCAAACTCTACAAGCTCTACAGCAGCAGCACTCCCACCTTCCGGGTCCTGGGATGGAGGAGACTGAAGCACCCCCTCCCCCCTCATCCACAAGAGAAGGAGCCCAGGGGCCAGGGGCTGGCACGGCTGCACAGCCGAGGGGCGCAGACTCGCTCCCTCAGGCCACTTACTTCTCCAGGGACTTGAGGATGTAATTGTAGTTGTTGTGAAGGAAGATGGCGCTCAGAGCTGGGTCCTCGTACACCTTGGACTTGCTCAGCAAGTTCAACTGTAGGTTGCCCAGTACTTTACCTGCACAGGGAAAAATGGGGCCATACCCATCATGGCAGTCTGACCCAAACGACCCCATCCCAGGACCTGCTAACGCACTCCTATCCATCGCTCCTCGTCGCCTCAGGAGGCCTTAGCCCAGCTTCCCTCAGCCTCTGAACTAGAGGTCAGGTTGTGGTTCCAAAGGTCAGATGGCACTTAGGAGAGGGCCCTGGGAATAGCCAGAGAGCACAGACAGAAGGAAGGGAAAGGCAGGGCATGCAGCCGGCAGGGCTGTTGGTCTGCCTGGGAGAACACTCACAGATATAGGTGCTTAGCAGCCGCTTGCTGAACTCGGAGCTGTAGCTGGTGGCCGAAGAGCTGGTCTCTGTGAGAGAAGTCCTGTTATTGCAGTGGCAGCAGCCAAGACCCTCAACGACCCTTCCCCCATGCCATGCAGCAGTCTGAGGGGACACTGAGGTCCCTGGGCTTCCTCGGGCAGAGCCAGCTACCTGCTAAGCCACAGGGCGGCCCCTGCCACAGGAAGCACCGGCCCTGGATTTTCTGGAACCCAGAGCTGCCCTCTATGATGGGGTGGCATGGCTAAGGAGCTGGTCCATGTCAGCAGAAAAGCTGGCAGGACAAGAGTGAGATGCCAGCGCCCTGTCCCCTCCTGCGCCCACCCACCCTGGGTGGTTTCTACAAGGTCCCCTTTTTCTTTTTGCCAACAGCAGAGTCTTAGAAAGGGCTCCTCACAGTCTCTGCACCTTCTCCCCTACATTCAAACATCCCCCTCTACCAGACCCTCCTGAATAGAGGAAGCTGCGGCCTGCAGTGTGGAAGGCCGAGTAGGGACAGCAAGGCAGGGAGGCCGGGTGAGCCTGGGGGGTGTATTCAGGGCTCTGGCCCCGGCAGGTGCTGCGGATAAGCTCAGAGACAGAGTGGCCCTGAAGGGAGCAGAGAGAGTTGAGAGCACCCTGAGAAAACTCATGTCCCCTCTGACTCGGGCTCCCCAGTAGGTCCTGAGAGTCAGTCCCCAGGGAACCTCACCCACCAAGCTTCAGAGGGACAGAAGGGGGCTGCAGAACCGCACTGCTTACCTCGGGGGTCTAAAGGAATATTGTATGTGTCCCCAAGAACTACGGAGTGAAAGGCAGTGCACACAGAGGGGACGGAAGGAGAGACAAAGGAGGGAGAAAGATGCAAAGTGCAAAAAACAGGTTAGAAATGGCACGTCAACCTGAGTCAAGCAGACCTCTCCCCACGACAGCCAGAACACAGACAGCAGGACACAGCGGGCAGGACCCTCTGAGGACCAGGGAGCGCTCTGTAAGTACAGAGCTGGGAAACTGCAGGCTGGAGGCTGCCCATGGGCTCCCTGCCCCCAAAATGGGATGGAAGGAGAGGGCCCGGGGACCTCAGTGCTTGGAATGAACCAGAAAGGTGCTCTTGCTCACAGGCCGACCCCGAGCTCCAGTCCCAGGGCAGGGCCAGCAGGAAGACACCCAGCTAGCCCTGAAACACTTGCTACCCTCTGAAGGCCAGCTGAGCGAGCCTGATGAGGAGAGCAGGCAGACACAGAGAAGGATTCGGGAGGGGGGCAGGCGCAGAAAGGACACCTTCCAACCAGCCAGCACTGCTCCCAGAGTGAGGACACTGCTTCCAGGGCGACGACGGTCAAAGGGGCTGAGGGAGGGGCCGGAGGTCCAGTGTCTGGTCTTGAAAGGTGCCGGCAAACCTCGCTCTCCTGATGCTCAGCCCCAGGGACCCTCTGCAGGGCACATCTCAACCCCTCCACAGACTGGAGACGCCTCCTCACTGCTCCCTGCCCTCTAACCCCATGTCTCCAGGCAAGAAGGGGAGTGGGGCAGGGGGCCCAGCTGGGAAGTGCCAGTACCTTGGGAGGCCAGCATGGCACCTGCCGTCTCCTGGAAGTCCAAAAGCTGCTGCAGGAAGAGGATGGCCTGGGTGGGAAGAAGACGGTGCAGAAGGGCAAGTGGCAGGTCCGGCTGACGGCCTCCCGCAGCGACCCCTCTGAGTGCCCACGGCCAGCCCAGGGCTGGGATCCGCCCAGTGAAGAGCGCGGCTGGAAACTTCATTTTCACCCTAGTCTACCAGGAAGGGCCCTGTCTGCTAGAGACACTAAGCACGTCACTGTCCATCCTGCTACCCAGGACCGCTCACAAAGGTGCGAGCAGCTCTGGGCCAGACTGGGTCCCTTCCACCAGTACTCTGCCCAGCCCTGGGCCTGGGTCCTCCTTCCTCCCCCTTCCCGGTGTCCTCAGGCAGCACCCACATTGCTGGTGAGCTCGTGCACGGTGCCGTCCTTTGGCATGTTGTACTCCTTGTCCGGATCATTCTGTGGAAAAACAGCCTCTGGTTCCCTGAAGCAGCCCCCGGCCCACCCCACGCCCCCCGTGCACCTGCTCACGGTGCCACCTCCTTGCAGACGGGTGCCAGGACACCTCTCAGGCACAAAGGCTGAGCCAGGCTGGACCAAGGGGGAGAGGCTCTTCCCACCTCAGAGGGCTTGGAGGCCCCAGGAAGGAAAGGAAGGCACATGGGTGCTGACAGGCCAGCGGCGCAGCTGGCTTCCCCTGGGACAACGCACCCTCTTGGAGGCCTGCTCTCCGAGAGTCCCCCAGGGCCAGGTCACTGTGGGTGCTGGGATGGGAGGGAGGGAGAAAGGGGAGGACGGCAGGGACCTTGATGTTGTCCGCGAAGTCCTCCAGCGCTTTGGCACCAATGGTCTCCATAGAGGTGATGAGGCCAGGCAGCTTATTCTTGGTGCTGGCGGCCGTGCCCTGAGGAAGCACAAGGGAGTTCCAAGCTCTCCTCCAGTCACTCAGTGAGCATCTCATTCGCCCAGGGCCCTTCCTAAGCTGTCTCCATGCATCCTCAGAGCAGAGGTGTGGGACGGAGAATGCGGTTCTCCCAGGGAGGGATGAGGGCGGCCACACCAGGCAGCAGGATGCCTCCTGGCTGTTTTCGAGGGCCCCTCGTCCACATACCTGGAGCACCTGGTCAAACTCAGGCTTGGTCTGCTTGAGGTGCCGCAGGATGGGGAAGACAGTGAGCACCGTGGAGAAGTCGTGTCGCACAATGGCCTTCCGGGCAGCGGACACAATGTTCTCCCCTTCAAGCATCAGCCCATCCAGGGCATCCTGAGGGGACAGGGAGACAGTTCAGGGAAGGGTGGGGTGGTGGGAGCTGGCTCCGGGCTGGTGGGGGATCCTTGTAGGGTGTAGGGGGCCAGTGTGCAGGAAGTGGGGCGATGGGGAGGTGGTGAGCGTCCACCCAGGACCAGTCCACAGGGCACAAGGCGGTGGTGGTGGCTGGAGTTGAGGGCTGCAAGAGTCTGTGGTGACAGCTCTCGCTGGGGCTGGCTGCAGAGCCCCAGGGCGGCACGGGACCTGTATCAGGGAGTCGAAGGTCTTCTTCTGGTGGTGCTCGGGGATGATGTCTGCCAGCAGCTGGTACTCGCTCTGCGCCAGCTTGACGAAGGCGCTGACGCAGTGAATGTAGGCATCGGTCTCCACGTCCAGCATGTCATCTCTCCCTGGGGAAGACACAACTCTTGAGTTGCTGGTCTGGGGCCAGCCACACTTCTGGCTGGGGAGCTGTGGGTCCCCCAGCTCCTGGACTGCACCCCAGACCGGCAGCGGATGGGGAAGAGGCTGACTGTTCTGGCAGAAAGCTGCAAGGGCACCAGCAGGCCCCGCCAGGTTTGAGGGGAACAATAGGAGCTGAGCCCAGCCTTTGTTCTGGCTTCATTCTCAGCTCTGCGCAGACAGTGGGATCAGACACCAGAGGCAGGAGGGTGATGGACGGAAGGATAAGGAGGGAAGATCACTGAATCAACATCCTGGATAAGGTAGTTTGACCCCAGGACTGAGGATTCTGAGTTGTACCTGAAAGAGGGCAGCCCAGGGTGGGCAGGTGGCTGTGCCACCTCAAGGAGGCTGGCACTGGGGTCATCCATGTGGGCAAATGTGGGGCCTGTGAAGGAAGGGACCAGCCCAGCCAGGGCTTCTGGAACATCTAAGAGGGTGGTAGGCTGCAGCCTCTGAGGCTGGCTGGCATGAGGTCAAAATCTGAGAAGAGGCTGGTAAGTCCCAGAGAGGAGGGGTTGCCAGCTGCCCCAGGAGGAGGCCAGATCCTATTACTGGAGGCCACAGCGGGGGCGCCTGTGGACAAAACCAGTGGCAGAACTGCCTGGTCCTATGTGCCAAGGGATGGGCTCCGAGGGGATCAGAGCTCTGAGTTGTTGCAGGAGGCGGACGTCAGGGCTCCCTGCCCTCAAGGGAGCCACCTTCCCTCTCTGCCTGCTTTCTGAGTAGCAGCGGCTTCTCCCCTTGGCCCAGGCCTGAGAGCCAGGCACGCACTCCCATCTGGAGAGAGGCAAGGAGACCTAGGCCCAAAAGAGAGTGGAGAGAGAGGCGCATAGGCCTGGCCCATCCTCAGAGCAGACTGGGCCTGGCTGGGCCAGACAGGAGCAGGCCATCCGGGGACCGCTGCGAAGGCAGTGTCAGCAGCTGCCCTCGGGCTGGGCTGCAGTACTCACCGGCCAGTGGCCCGTGCTTGTCGTTCAAGGCCTCGGACAGGTGCTTAACTCGGAAATCATGCTCGTGACCTGGCGAGATGTTGGCCGCATAAACACAAGCAGTGTTTATCCAGGGGCCAGGCAGGCCGCCCCTTGGGGTATAGGGAAGAAGCCCTTCATCTCCAGGAGGGGGATGTCAGATGGGGATGGGGAAGGGGGCATCAGAGAGGGCTCTGAGCCCCTCCTCTACCTCAAGCCACCTTGGGAACAGCCATTTCAAGCCTGACTTCAGTGAGCACCCAGGACCGTCCTTAGCTGCCCATTTCCCCAACTCTGGAGGCCCAGGGAAAGCGGAGAAAGACCGAGGAGGGGCTGAAGAGCTGATGCTTGGCCCCAGGGGGGTTCCCCACCTCGCCGTATTTGCGCAAAGCCCCAGTTTGCCTGTCCCCTGCTGCACACACTCCCCTTTCTGAAGAGGGGAGGCCTCGGCCGGCTGGGGCTGCCACTGCGGGTCTGAGCGTGAAAGGCTGCCCCAGACAAAGAGCTTTCTCTGAGTTCACACAGGAGACAAGGACAGAGACAGGGGAGGGAGGAGGGAGCCCCAGGGAGGGCAGAGCTGCCATCAGCCAGAGAGGACCAGGCCGAGGGCCGCGAAACTGTCCCTGCGCCTGCTGAAGCCCAAGTGGCATTAGGGACCTGCCGTTCCCACCCTGCTCCCCTCAGGGTTTCTCCCGAGGCCCTCCTGGGGGAGGCTCTGCCCTGCCAAGTGCATGGACACACAGTGGAGGAGGAAGGGACAGGAGGGGAACACAGGGTGATTACCTTCCAGAGGAATGAGGTTAGAGCCCCCCTTTTTCCCATCTAGACCATGCTGGGAATACTGTTTCAGAAGGTTCTGAGCCTTACGGATCGTCCCTGTCACCAGAGCCACACAGAGAGGAGATAAGAAGACCTAGGAAATGAGTGAGAGAAAACAGCAGCGGCCCTCCACCTGCCCCCAGGCCCCACACCCAGCCCCCCAACAGTGAGCAGGCCCTTCCCTGGGACCACCAGAGACCCTGGGGACAAAGGTGAAGGAAAAGAATCATTTCCTTCTCCAAATGGAGCCTTGATTCTACTACTGACCCTCCTTGTTCTGGATTTCAGTTCATTTCTGAAAGGACAGAGGATAATGAAGATGGAACAAGATCCACCAGGAGAAGTAAAAAATACGGAGTGGCACTGTAGTCAGAACAGGCGAGGGCTCAGGTTGGAGGAGCCAGTGACAAAGCTTGCACACCGAGAGGGCACAACCAGGGTGGCAGAGCTTGGGGGTACCCTGAAGCCAGCAGGCCCCCAGCCCAGCCCCAAACTCCAGGCAGAGCTCTCCGGGCACGTTCAGTGTTGGGACGTACGCCAAACAGCAGCCAGCAGGAAGCCACCCTGACTGAACTTCCGGGGAGCGCGGTGCCCAAGGCGGACAGCTCAGAGACCCAGAGGCAGCCTAGCCCCACACATTAGAGTTCCCCAAACAACCAAAGGGACAAGAAAAAATCCAAAAGTCAAGAAGGGGTTAACAGAAGCCACCACACAGAGAGCCTGGAGGGTGTGCGCAGAAGGAGAGGGCACATGCTCTTGGCATGGGGGAAAAAAACAACAGTTAGTATCACAAGTGAAAACAATGAGAACAAAATGGTAGCGCCCACAGCCACCTGAGTCAGCCTCCTTTATGGGAATGAGACATCTTGGGCCAGAAAACGTGGGGAAATAAACCCGCATCTCAAGTAGACAAGTGCAGCTGCCTTGTTAACAAAATGTATGGGGGCAGGAAGGCACCCGGGATGCCCTCCACCCTCCTACTGTCTATCTGAGCACAGTGAAGCTGCTGTGTCCTGGCAGCTCCCCAGAAAGCTGAGGCAGAAAGGGCAGTGTCTGGAGGCTCATTGCTTACACCTGCACTGCACTGCACCGCACCGCATGACATCACAATTAGTTCTTTTTTTGTTTGTTTCTGTTTTTTTTTTTTGAGACAGAGTCTTGCTGGGTCGCCCAGGCTGAAGTGCAATGGCACAATCTCGGCTCACTGCAACCTCCGCCTCCTGGTTTCAAGCAATTCTCCTGCCTCAGCCTCCTGAGTAGTTGCGATTATAGGCGTGCGCAACCATACCCAGCTAATTTTTTTTCTATTTTTAGTGGAGACGGGGTTTCACCGTGTTGGCCAGGCTGGTCTTGAACTCCTGACCTCAGGTGATCCGCCCGCCTCGGCCTCCCGAAGTGTTGGGATTACAGGCGTGAGCCACCATACTCGGCCCATAATTAGCTCCTAATAACCAAGTTCCGCAGCCTGGCTCACATCTGCCTTGCTCGTGCTCTCCCCTTCAGCGAGCGAGGCTCACTAATGAGTGAATTGGATTCCCGCCCCACGACCCACCAGAAGCAGCCGGAGCAGCCCCGGACGCAGGTGCACGCCGGCAGGATGTGGGTCGGGGATGCAGATCTGGCAGCCGCCAAACCTGTCAGGCGCCCAATTACCTCCAGGGATGCTGAGGTCAGTGCTTCACCACCTGGGAGGCCTCCCTGCCCCTCTCCTCAGAAGTGGGAACCGATGTCAACGGAGCCTGACTCCTTAGAGCCTGACATCGGTCCTGAGCCCACCAGTGCCTGACAACTCAGAAACCCCACAGCCGGAGAGCTTTCCTCTTGTGTCCCTGGGCCAAGGACGGATGCGGTCCACTGTGAGCCACCTGAGATCAGACCCCGCCTGCCTGAAAGGCCAGGTGGCTGCATGGCCAGCGGGCACTCTTAGGGCAGTGCAAATAGGGCTCTGGGGCTTCCAGGGGGCCTGTCAGGGAACCAGGCAGAAGAGGAAGTGAGCACAGAGTGGCTGGGGCTAAAGCATCCTCGAAGCCTCACAGAGACAGCCACTCCCCACCACACAGAAGGTACAGAGCTGCTCCATCCGCTGTGCAGGCAGCTGTGCCCACAGGCTGGGCTGGCAGTCCCCATTTGCAGGTTTTGGCTGGGTGGGCAGGACATCCACACTGAAGGGAGAAGGCCCCAGGCACCAGCTCCCTAATGCTCTACTCCCTGAGGGCAGCCCCTACTCTGCCTGTTTCTCTAAACCCTAAACAAAGGCCTGGAGGGGAGCAGGTGCTCTTGTGGAACAGACACCTCGATCTCTGAGAGGCATGGGCAGGTAGGGACTGGAGAAACCAAGGGTGTAAGTAAGCTCTACCTAAAGCCTGTTGTCATAAGCAGGTCCCACAGGCCACACCTAGGGCATGTGCCTGCAGCAGCAGTTGGACAGGGGGCCAGCCTGGGTGGGAGCAGCCCTGGCTTCTCCAGCTTTCTCTTCCAGAGCAATCTCAGCAGCCCCACCCCAGAACATCCCAGCATGTCATCGAGTTGTGGGCAGCATCTGTCAGTGGCCAGAGACAGCCAGGCTTGCCAAGCTGTGGCTGGCAGAGACACTGTTTACCTGGAGCACAGACTACAAGGGACATGATGCCAGGGAGAAAGAACAGACAGATGACGAGATGTTCACCCAGGACAGCGACACCCACCGGCCCAGGCCTCTCATCATGGTGCCTCTTTCCACAAGGCACTGACTCGCACTGGAGCCCAAAGCCAGTTTAAGTTCTTCTGAGAAGATGCTCTGGGGTTTCTTTCCTTTTTGGATCGACTGGGAAAGTGAAATTCTCCCCATCCAGCTCTCAGCTACACATCACTTCAGGTCACCTTGCCTTTCTGGAAGGTGAAGGTTGGAGCACCTATCCCCTCGCTATCCCAGCGTCCTGGATGCAGCAGTGCCTGGTCTCCTGACAGGGTGATGTGTGTGTGAGGCACGAGGCCTAGGCAGGGGCTTGGCCCTAGAAGCCTCTGCCGCCTGCCTCAGGCAGGATTAACTGAGCACCTGTGTTACTCCCTCACTCCAAAGAAGCTGTGTCACCCCCAGGCTCTGCTGGGTAGAAGGGTCTTGCTCTGCGGGGGCCTCACTGGCTGGGTAGACACTTGCTTTCTGTCCTGTGTACCTACAGTCAGGGTTACCATAACGACAAGCTCTAGAGGGGTCTGACGCTGCGAACGCTAGATTGGATGAAAGCAGTGCAGTTCCAGTCAGCCTCTGGCTGTTGCAGAGATGGGCCAGGATGGGGGCTCACCTGGCCGCTTGACTGGCTTCTTGGTAGGTGTGTCTTTCCTCTTGTTGGGGATAGCAGGGGAGTAGGGAACCCCAGAGGAAGAACTGCTCTTATGGAAATGCTCCTTCAGGCCCTTGATGGAGCGGTCCAGCTGGCTGGAGCGTATCTGGTAGTAGACGTTCATGAAATCTGAGGAGATACAGAGTGATAGAGGTATGGCTGCCAGGCCCTGCCTCTGCCTTGCAGACCCACCACGTCTACCTGTCAACCCTTCTTAGCATCTGCTGTCTGCTCTGGGTCGCAAGCCACCCATATCTTGTCCCAAATCAGGCAAAGTATTTTTTTTTTTTTTTTTGAGACAGGGTCTTGCTCTGTTGTCCAGGCTGCAGTGCAGCGGCACGATGTCAGCTCACTGCAGGCTCAACCTCACGCAGGAACCAACACAACACAGCCCTCAAGAAACAACAAAACTGCCAACACAAAACACACACAAAACAACAGTGCATAGACCAAGACACACAACAACACACACAGGAAAAAAAACAACAATCTTTTTTTTTTTTTTCTTTTTTTTTTTTTTGAGACGGAAGTCTCTGCGCTTGGGTCCACCCAGGGCTGGAGTTTCAGTGGGCGCGATCTCGGCCCACTGCAAGCTCGCCCTCCCAGGTCCACTGCCATTTCCCCTCCTGCCTCCAGCTCCCGGTACTGGGGACTAACAGGCGCCGCACACCCGCCTGGCTAGTTTTTTTGTATTTTTATTAGAACGGGGTTTCCACCATGTTACCAGGGATGCCCGATCTCTGACTGTGATCACCCCGCTTCGGCTCCAAATGCTGATTACAGGCTTGAGCCACCGCGCCCGGCCCAGGCAGTCTTAAAAGAGAAAAACACCTTCCGATAGAACTGATAATTAGTTGTAATTTTTTTTTTTTTTTAGGTAAGGTCTTACTCTGTCGCCCAGGCTGGAGTGCAGTGGTGTGATGGCTCACTGCAACCTCTGCCTCCCAGGCTCAACCAATTCTCTTGCCTCAGCCTTGAGTGGCTGGGATTACAGGCACGCGCCACTTCCACCCAGCTAATTTTTATATTTTTAGTAGAGATGGGGTTTCACCATGTTGGCAAGGCTGGTCTTGAACTCCTGATCTCAAATGATTCACCAGCCTCGGCCTCCCAAAGTGCTGGGATTATAGGCATGAGCCACCATGCCCAGCCCTAGTTTTTTTATTTTTTTTTGAGACCGAGTTTCATTTTTGTCGCCCAGGCTAGAATGCAATGGCACGATCTTGGCTCACTGTGACCTCTGCCTCCCGGGTTTAAGCAATTCTCCTGCCTCAGCCTCCCAAGTAGCTGGGATTATTACAGGTGCCCGCCACCACACCCAGCTAATTTTTTGTATTTTTAGTAGAAATGGGGTTTCACCATGTTGGCCACGCTGGTCTTGAACTCCTGACCTCAAATGATCCACTGGCCTTGGCCTCCCAAAGTGCTGGGATTACAGGCATGAGCCACTGCGCCCAGCCCTAGTTGTAAGTTTAAATGGTACTTTTTTTTTTTAAATAAAAAAACAAAGTTAATATCCAGATTCAACTTGGTAAGGGTTCAAAGAACACGAGCTCTATAGGAAGCAAACAGATGTTAGTGAATGAAATGTTAGTGAAACAAATGTTAGTGAATGAAAAACACACATCTTTAGCCATTAATAAAGTACAAATTTAAAAAGTTAGAGTACTGTGATAGTCCTAAAAGATAGCAAAAACAAAAATTAATGAAGAACAAATGGCCATGGAACTGTCAATGAGTCCATCAATTGGCCTGATCTATTTGGAGAGGAGCTAGTGATGGCAAGAAGGTTACAAGTATCTTCAGACACTTACACCTAATCCCTGCACCCTTGAGAATAAACAAAAATTAGCTGGGCGTGGTGGTGGGCACCTGTAATCCCAGCTACTCGGGCGGCTGAGGCAGAATTGCTTGAACCCAGGAGGCAGAGGTTGTGGTGAGTCAGGATCATGCCACTGCACTCTAGCCTGGGTGACAGTGCGAGGCTCCGTCTCAAAAAAAAAAAAAGTGCAATACTGGATATCTATTGGAGTTGAAGTTTTTATTTTCTTTCTTTCTTTCTTTCTTTTTGAGATGGAGTTTTGCTCTTGTTGTCCAGGCTGGAATGCAATGGCATGATCTCAGCTCACCATAACCTCCTGGGTTCAAGAGATTCTCTTGCCTCAGCCTCCCAAGTAGCTGGGATTACAGGCCACCACACCCAGCTAATTTTGTATTTTTAGTAGAGACGGGGTTTCTCTATGTTGGTCAGGCTGGTCTTGAACTTCTGACCTCAGGTGATCCGCCTGCCTAGGCCTCCCAAAGTGCTGGGATTACAGGCGTGAGCCACTGCACCCAGCCTTCTTTCTTTGAGACAAGAGTCTCACTCTGTCACCCAGGTTGGAGTGCAGTGGTGTGATCTCAGCTCACTGCAACCTCCAGCTCCCAGGCTCAAGTCATTCCCCCCACCTCAGCCTCCCAAGTAGCTGGGACTGCCGGCATGTGTCACCACACCCAGCTAATTTTTATGTTTTTTGTAGAGACAGGGTTTTGCCATGTTGGCCAGGTCTTGAACTCCTGAGCTGAAGCGATCCCCCCACCTCAGCCTCCCAAAGTGTTAGGATTACAGGTGTAGCCACCACACCTCGCATAAATAAACATTAACAGTGCTCATCTTTGGGTTATGTAATGGAGGCATCGCGGAAGTGGAAGATGGACTTTTACTTTTCACCCATGGCTTTCTGTACCATTTGAAAATTTTACAACTAATCAAAAAAGGCAAATGAACATAAAAATCAAGACAAGAAAAGTTTGAATTTGCCTAGATTCACAGCTTGATATATAAATCATAGAATGGTTGCTTATATTGGTTCCAGTTAAACATCCTTTTATCAAAAAAGCCATGACAAGTGGATTAAAGAATAAAGGCAGCTGGGCACGGTGGCTCACGTCTGTAATTCCAGCACTTTGGGAGGCTGAGGTGGGTGGATCACCTGAGGTCAGAAGTTCAAGACCAGCCTGGCCAACATGGCAAAACCCCATCTCTACTAACAATACAAAACTTAGCCAGGTGTGGTGGCGTGCGCCAGTAATCCTAGCTACTCAGGAGGCTGAGGCAGGAGAACCACCGGGACCCGGGGTTGCAGAGGCCGCAGCAAGCTGAGATTGCACCATTGCACTCCAGCCTGGGCAACAGAGTAAGACTCCATCTCAAAAAAAAAAACTCACTCTGCCTCCAGTGTGCCACGTGGCCGAGTCAGAACCTCTTACCTTGGTTGCGGCCGTATTCCACCAGCCAGCGGGAAATGCGAATGACATCCTGCAGCACGCTCTCGGGCAGGTGCTCCAGGGTCACATCCTCTTGGGCCTCCAGATCATCGTCACCACTGATCAGATCCAAGATGAGCACAGGTGAGACGACCTTACTGTGCCGTGTCATCAGGCTGCGGAATTCAGACTCCAGGGCCTCCTTCCCGCGCTCAAAGAGCAGTTTCTGCAGGGACAACAGAAGGAAGCGGGTGCCTGCTGCTTCAGTGTTCTGCCAGTCCTGGCCTTCCCCTGCCCGTGCCACCTTGGTCTTCCTAACTCAGGGCCTCTGCCCTTTTCTGCCCTGATACCCTTTTTTTTTTTTTTTTTGAGACAGAGTCTTGCTCTGTCGCCAGGCTGGAGTGCAGTGATACAATCTTGGCTCACTGCAACCTCCAACTCCCTGGTTCAAGCAATTCTCCTGCCTCAGCCTCCCGAGTAGCAGGGATTACAGGCACATGCCACCACACCCAGCTAATTTTTATATTTTTAGTAGAGATGGGGTTTCACCATGTTGGCCAGGATGGTCTTTATCTCCTGACCTCAGGTGATCCACCTGCCTCAGCCTCCCAAAGTGCTGGGATCAGGCATGAGCCACCGTACCTGGCCTGCCCTGATATCCTTTAACCCAAAGAAGAAATGTCGGGAAGCGGCCTTGGTGACTCCTTTACTTCATATTCTCTCAAAATTTGTGTTTACAGGTAAAAACTAGGGTTTTACAAGAAGTAGGTGCTTAATAAATACTGGCTGATTATTTTCTCACTGCACCGTTAATGTGTCTTCTTGTTAGTGGGGGGTTTGCAAAAGAGAATAAATAAATAAATTGAACAGTATCAAATTGAAAACTTCTGTGCTGCAAATGATACCATCAACAAAGTGAGGATAACCCACAGAATGAGAGAAAATATTTGTTAACTACATATCTGATAAAAGACAGGTATCCCAAACATAGAAGAGAATGAATCTGTCCACACGATGACGTGTATAAAAGGGTTTATAGCAGCATTATTCACAAGAGACAAAAATTGGAAACAACCCAAGTGTCCATCAAAGGATAAATGGCTAAAGAAAATGTGGTCTGGCTGGGCACGGTGGCTCACGCCTGTAATCCCAGCACTTTGGGAGGCTGAGGCAAGCGGATCACCTGAGGTCAGGAGTTCAAGACCAGCCTGGCCAACATGGTGAAACCCTGTCTCTACTAAAAATATAAAAAATTAGCTGGGTGTGGTGGTGGGTGCCTGTAATCCCAGCTACTTAGGAGACTGGGATAGGAAAATCGCTTGATCCCAGGAGGCAGAGGTTGCAATGAGCCAAGATTGCGCTATTGCCCTCCAGCCTTGGCAACAAGCGCGTAACTCCGTCTCAAAAAACAAAACAAAAAAAACAAAAAAAGAAACTGTGGTCTATCCACAAAAAGGAATAGCATATGCAAGAAAAAGAAATGAAGTACTGATACATGCTATAGCATGGACTGATCTTGAAAGCATCATGCTAAGTGAAAGAGGCCAGCAAAAAAGGCCATGTATTATAAGATACCATTTATATCAGAAATTCAGAATAGGCAAATCCATAAAGACAGAAAATAGATTTGTGATTTCCAGAGGCCAAGCCACTATCTTGCTCTGATGATCTAATGACCCCAAAACTTAAACACAAAGATACAATGAAGGCAGGTACAGTGGCTAATGCCCATAATCCCTCCCAACACTTTGAGAGGCCAAGGTGGGAGGATCACCTGAGGACAGTAGTTTGAGACCAGCCTGAGCAACACAGGAGATCTCCTCTCTACCAAAAGATTTAAAACTTAGCTGGGCATGGTGGCACGTGCCTGTGGGCCCAGCTACTCGGAAGGCTGAGGCGGGAGGATTGCCTGAGCCCAGGAGTTCGAGGCTGCAGTAGCTATGGTTGTGCCACTGCAGTCTGGCCTAGATGACATAGCCAGATCCTGTCTCTTAAAAAAAAATTAAAAATATATAATGCAAAAAAAATCACATAGATTCAAGTTCCTAGAGTAGATTCACAGAAACGGAAAGTGGAATGGTGGTTACCAGAAGACAGAGGAAGGGAGAATGGGAAGTTAGTGTTTGATGGGAGTGGAGTTTCACTTGAGGAAGATGAACATATTTGTGGAGATAATAATGGTGATGGCTACACAACATTGTGAAGGGACTTAATGCCACTGTTAACTTAGAGTTAAAATAGTATATTTTGGCCGGGCGCGGTGGCTCACGCCTATAATCCCAGCACTTTGGAAGCCAAGGCAGGCGGATCACCTGAGGTTAGGAGTTCGTGACCAGCCTGGCTAACATGGTGAAACCCCATTTCTACTAAAACTACAAAAAAAAAAAAAAATTAGCCGGGAGTGGTGGTGCACGCCTGTAATCCCAGCTACTCAGGAGGCCGAGGCAGGAGAATCGCTTGGGAGATCGCACCATTGCACTCCAGCTTGGGCAACAAGAGCAAAACTTCGTGTCAAAAAAAAAAAAAATTTATATTATGTATTTTTAACCAAAATAAAGAAACAACAAATGCATTTATAAAAATCAAATGCGGCTGGGTGCAATGGCTCATGCCTGTAATCCCAGGCCAAGGTGGGGGATCATCTGAGGTCAGGAGTTTGAGACCAGCCTGGCCAACATGGCGAAACCCCATCTCCACTAAAAATACAAAAATTAGCCGGGTGTGGTGGCGGGCGCCTGTAATCCCAGCTACTCTGGAGGCGGAGGCAGGAGAATGGCATGGACCCGGGAGCAGAGGTTGCAGTGAACTGAGCACTGCACTCCAGCCTGGGTGACAGAGCAAGACTCTGTCTCAGGAGGAAAAAAAAAAAAAAATCAAATGTTAAGTATATATTTTATATGTAATTTATAATTTAATTTTTATAATACATTTAAAAGTTTTATAATAAAGAATTTTTAATAATAAAAAATGTGCAATTCTTGAGGCAGAGATACTAATGCCTAGAGGATGTACTGTGCTATATCCTTCTGTGTATTCTACTGTATACATCCTCAAGCTGGCCCCATGTCCCTCATGAGACCAGGACAGAGACTGATATCCCCAAGCTCCTCACATTATTCTGCAGATCCCTTACCACTTTGTTGAGTTCTGGGCTGTCTGGGCTGTTGTCCTGGAAATACTCCACTGCCTTCTGAATCTTGGCCATGCTTCCCAGGTACTCTTCCAGCCTACCTGTGGGGCTGGGAAGGAAAAGAGCCAGGTCAGGCTGGGGCAAGGGGGGTGAAGAAGGACTAAGGACACAGTATTTGGAAGGGAAAGAAGAGAATTAATACATGGGACTCCAGGTTCAAATATATGCTATCCCCCCCGCCGCCTTTTAAGACTTAGGGCTTAAAAGGCATCTCACTGTGTTATCCAGGCTGGTCTTGAACTCCTAGTCTCAAGTGATCCTCCCGCATCAGCATCCCAAATTGTTGGGATTACAGACCAACCCTCCAGTCCAGGAGGGATTAGGAATTGACCCTATGGGCCTAACTCACCCCTCTCTGATGATCTTCTCAGTGTCACTGGCCACATGGTAGTAGCTGATGACATGGTCCAGGCAGGACAGTGTCTTCTCAACATTCTCCTGCAGCCGCTGCAGATTCTCCGTCTGCTTGTGCACAGGGATGATGGAGTTCTCCAGCTTCATAAGGCGGCTCTCAAAGGATGATAAGATAGACACCTGCAGGAGGGAAGCCTCTTGATCTCAGGCCTCATGGTGGTCCCAGCACTGCTTCTACACACCCACCTTGGGCATTTCCTGCCTTTTCTCTGGGTTTCTAGACAATAAACTCCACAAGGGAAGGAAGAGGGTGTATCTGTTCCCCATTGTATCCTCAGCACCCATCATGTGCCTAGCATATAGTAGGTGATTTAAGACAAATTGGTTGAAATTTTATTTGAAGGCAAACCAAGCATCAAATTAATTCTTCCTAAAATAATCAGACCAAGATGGCTTCCCTTCCACCCTTTGAAGCCAAATCTCAACTTCTGCTCTCTTTGAAGCATTCCTAAACTGGACTGGAAGTAGTTTCATATAGAGAAGCCTCAAATGCATTTCTGTATCTTCAAAACTCTCTTAAGGATGAAACTCATTGAATAAGGACTAGAGGCTGGGCGTGATGGTTCATGCCTGTAATCCTAAGAATTTGGGAGGCTGAGGCAGGAGGATTGCTTGAGACTAGGAGTCCAAGACCAGCCTGGACAACACAGTGAGACCCTGTCTACACACACAGACACACACACGCACATAATTAGCAAGGTGTGGTGGTGTGTGCCTACAGTCCCAGCTACTAGGATGCCGAGGCAGGAGGACTGCCTGAGCCCAGGAGTTAGAGACTGCAGTAAGCTACGGTCATGCCACTGCACTCTAGCCTGCACAACAGAGCCAGACCCTGTCTCTAAAAAGAAATAATTTTAAAATTAAATTTTTTAGAAAAGGACTAGGACTTTATTATTGTGTGACTAAATACAAATACAAGTTTGTATTTACTCACTTTGTGCTTTTCCAGTCTCCCCTAGGAATAAAGAAGGAACCTCACTTATTGAGCACCTATTGTATACCAGGCACTGAGCAAGATGCAGTCGCATGCATTAGCGCATATGACCTTCACAGACACACTGGGAGGCTGGCACAGTCTCCGCTTTAGCAGATGAATTCGCTGACACCAGAGTTACCTATCAGGAGCCACACACTTAAGCAGCAGGGCAAGGACTAGATCCCAGATCTGCCTGACTTCAGAGCTCTTTCTTTCCCTGAAGCCCTCTGGAGTGAAGGCTGAGTCTTCTCTGCTCTCAGGAATCTCGAAGTGCCAACCTCCTGGGCAGAGGATCCATTGACGATGACATATGCCCAGTACCTAGCCCAACTAACTGGTCAGACTCACTGAGTGTTTGCAGAAGGAGAGAAGGAAGAACGGCGAGCTTAGACAGAAAGCAGCAAGTCCAGGCCAGGGGGAAGCGCAGCCTCCTCAGTGAGGGGACGGAATATGGGGAGGGGGCTAGGCAGGAGAGATGCCAAACTGCTGCGAGATAAACCCACACACTGCCTGCGTCGCTACCCATGACAGAACCCCAGGCGGCAGGAACTGGAACCGCCAGGTCGCAAGGCTTTCCCCCAGGGTCCGGAGGCCTGCCCCCTCCCCCAGCTGCGAGGAGACTCACCATGTTCTTAGTGAGCTGGTCGCTCTTCTCCAGGCTGTCTCGGATGAAGGACAGCGTCTCCTCCTCCTGGGAGCAGGCAAGGGGAGGACATCACCAGAAACCAGAAGCTAAAGGAGACCCGACCCCACGGCCTAGCCCCCAACCCCATCTCCTCGCTGGGTGCGCTCCCTCCCACCCCGCCTCCTCTCCGAGTAGACACTCAGGCCCCGCTGTTGGCCTCTTTCCCTCACCTCCTCCCCAGGCCCACGCCCACCTGCTTCAGCTTGTCCTCGATCTCCCGCCGCCGGGCGGATGCCTCCTGTGGGGGAATCATCGCTCCGAACCCCACGGCTCCCACTCCCCACTATCTTTCCTTCGCGGGCCCACCGGGCCCCAGTCCCCGTCACACCCACTTCCGCTCTTGGTCCCGCCCCGGGACACCTGGGCGGAGCCAGGTTGGGCGTGGAAGGCGGAAGTGCGCCTGCGCGGAGCCCAGGAACGGACCGACGGCCATCTTGAGTGTGGCTGTGGAGTGACGTGTACTCGGATCCTACAAGGGATCTCGACGCGGGTTCCTTTCCTCAGGAGAGGTTTTTGATCGGCCGGCCTTATGTCCCGCGGCTGGTAGGACGCTTACAGCTCACTTGCTGTTTTCGTTGAAAGACCGAGCCTTTTCATAAACACTGCTGGGGAAGGCGACGAATTCCTTTCCCCAGGTCGCATTCTGTGGGCAGGCACCAAGGCCGATTGTGTTCCCCACAGCGCCCCGCACAGAGCAGGTGACACAGTAGATGCCTAACGTGTGTCCATGTAATGAACCAGGGGCTTGTGTAGTCGTTTTCCCCTTCCACCCTGCATTACGCAAAACCGTATCCTGTGGGCTGGCGGGGCTGCTCCGGAGCTCCAGGCCCAGTCCCAGCTTCCAGCTGCAGCTCCAGGGGATGGCGTGGTGGGCGCCCCTGGATCAACTTCCCTGCAGGGTTGGATGTTGTGGTTGTAGACCCAGCTCCTGAAAAACCTAGAATTACTCCTTCCTCTAACCAGTCCCTGCCCACCCTGCCTCTGGCCCCCGGCCTTGAGACAGGACATGGCCGACCAACTTGGTTCAGTCCTTCTGTGGCCTCAGTGTCCAGACACCGGGAAGATAGACAAGGAGGCATGTGCTGGTGGATGAGAAGGTTGGGGGAGGGGGGCGGACACCAAGCTTTTCTTTTTTTGTTGTGAGAGGGAGTATCGCTCTGTCGCCCAGGCTGCAATTCAGTGGCACGATCTCCGCTCATTGAAACCTCTGCCTCCTGGATTCAAGTGATTCTCGTGCCTCAGCCTCCTGAGTAGCTAGGATTACAGGCGGCTGCCAACACGCCCGGCTAATTTTTTTGTATTGTTGGTAGAGACAGGGTTTTGCCATGTTGCCCAGTCTAGTCTCGAACTCATGACCTCCAGTGATCCACCCACCTCGGCTTCCCAAAGTCCTGGGATTACAGGCGTGAGCCGCTACTCCCAGCCTGGGGGGCACCAAGTTCTAGGGTTCCCATGCGCTCCCTCTACTCATAGCCACCCAAAGAGGAGGAGGAGGAAATGGATGTACGGAGCCTGGAGAGGGATGGGCAGCCTTCCCTCGGGCAGGAGGACAATTTCCGTCCTTTTGTAGGTGGGGGAGGTAAAGGGCAGATTCCTGTGTCAGGAAATACCCAGGATGATTTCGCTGACGTGGTCCTTGTGTCGTCCTAAAGGCTAAGTGGGGAAAAGTTTAAACTGTTAGGTGTCACAGAATAGAATAGGGGGGCTAGTGAGCCGCTGCAGAGAGGATGTTTTGGGTTCAGGTGGACAACCCTTGAGGGCCTGGTCCAGTATTTAACCCGAGTCTCTCTCTTTTTTTTTTCCCTTGAGACGCAGTCTTGCTCTGTTGCCCAGGCTGGAGTGCAATGGCGCCATCTCAGCTCACCACAACCTCCGCCTCCCCGGATTCAAGCAATTCTTCTGCCTCAGCCTCCCAAGTAGCTGGGATTACAGGCATGCGCCACCACCCTGTCTAATTTTGTATTTTTAGTAGAGACAGGGTTTCTCCATGTTGTTCAGGCTGTTCTTGAACTCCCGACCTCAGGTGATCCGCCCGCCTCGGCCTCCCAAAGTGCTGGGATTACAGGTGTGAGCCACCGCACTGGCCTGAGTCTCTAACCAGTTCCTCACCCATAGTAGATGCTCAATAAAAATACTGATGATAATATTTTGCTCTGGCCAGGTGCAGTGGCTCATGCCTGTAATCCCAGCACTTTGGGAGGCTGAGGCAGGTGGATCAGGAGGTCAGGAGTTCGAGACCAGCCTGGTCAACATAGTGAAACCCCATGTCTACTAAAAATACAAAAATTAGCTAGGCATGGTGGTGTGCACCTGTAGTCCCAGCTACTCGGGAGGCTGAGGCAGGAGAATCGCTTGAACTCAGGAGGCAAAGGTTGTGGTGAGCCGAGATGGTGTCATTGCACTCCAGCCTGGGCAACAGAGCAAGACTCCATCTCAAGAAAAAAAAAAAAATTTTTTTTTGTTCCGTAGGTCTTGGGAATCTTTTATGCTCATGAGGAAGCTAATATTTTCAGATCTGTACAATGTCATTGCATTTTTGTCAATAAACGGTGTGTGCTTTACTGCATTTCCTCAAATTTCCTTCAGTGTCTGAGTCTAATGGGGTTGCTAACTACCATGTACTGAGAGCCTTTTGTTTGCCTGGCTTTACTACAAACATTGCCCTTGTTAATGCTCCTCTAATCCCACCATAAACCTGGGAGTCGGGCACAGCTGTCATCTCCCTTGTGCAGATGAGGAAGCTCCGGCTCAGAGAACTCAGCTGTAGTAAGTCAACACAGCTGGCCAGCAAAGGGTGAGGCTCAGGTGGTCTCTTCTTTCTCCCCATGCTGGGCAGCTCAGGAGTGGTGTTTGTTATGCAAAGCTGCCAATCTGATTTTCAAAAAAAATTCATTGTGAAAAGCATGTTGTATTCAAGACAACTATATTTACTAAGAGTAGACAGAATGAGAAAATGAATTTGAATTATTCTCAACCTATTATCAACCTTATGCTGACCACAAATAGGTATTGATTCAGCTAAAACTCTAATTCCCTAACTATACTCAACACAAGCTACTTTAGCAAAAGGAACAAGTGGTGCTTTAGTTGCAGTCTCAGAAGTCTTAGGTCTCACATCCACAAACTTGTGCAGAACACCAAGGTGCCAGCCATAGTCAGGCCCCCCACTTCCCACTCGCAGAGACGATCTTTCCAGAGGGAGGGAAGAAGGAAAGAAGGAAGGAAGGTAGGAAAGGACAGAAGGAAGGAACGGCCTCCCCACTCCACAGATGTGTTTTTCAGATTCATAACTTCCTAATTTTAGACTTCATGCTCTGTCTGAGGAATCAGATGTATGTAATTCCTCCAGATTAATGTTTCCTGGCCCTGTAACCATATTGCAAATGTATATGCTATGACATAACCACAAAAGCAGGTCATAATAGTATATATCGAGATTATAACCATTTAACATATAACAGATGCACTGCAGAAAATGACTTCAGGAAAACACCACAAAATACTAAAAGGTAAGTAGAACAGATGGAGGATTCTTTTTTTCTAGTTTCTAAAAATAGTTTAAATTAAATTACCTTTCTATTAAAATGCTTCTGAGCCAGGCGCGGTGGCTCACGCCTGTAATCCCGGCACTTTGAGAGGCCTAGGCAGTCTGATCACGAGGTCAGAAGTTCAAGACTAGCCTGGCCAATATGGTGAAACCCTGTCTCTACTAAAAATACAAAAATTAGCCAGGCGTGGTGGCGGGCGCCTGTGATCCCAGCTACTTGGGAGGCTGAGGCAGAGAACTGCTTGAACAAGGAAGGTGGAGGTTGCAGTGAGCCGAGATCATGCCACTGCACTCCAATCTGGGTGACAGAGCAAGACTCTGTCTCAAAAAAAAAAAAAAAATCTGCTTCTGGCCGGGCACAGTGGCTCACACCTGTAATCCCAGCACTTTGAGAGGCTGAGATGGGGGAATCGCTTGAACCTGGGAGGTGGAGGTTGCAGTGAGCCAAGATCATGCCACTGCACTCCAGCCTGGGTTACAGGGCGAGACTCCATCTAAAAAAAATTAATAATAAAATAAAATGCTGTCCAGGCATGGTGGCTCAGACTTGTAATCCCAGCACTTTGGGAGGGCAAGGCGGGCGGCTCCATTCTTTGTATAGTATTTCACTGAATGGATATAATAGACTGAACCAGTTATCTACTAATGGACATGTAAGTTGTTTCCAGGTTTCTTGCTATTGCAAATTCTGCCCCTTTGGGGTAGAAAATATACATATATACGTATCCTGTACATGACCACCTTTGTATAGACATCTATATGCCAGATATATTCCAAGAGTTGAACTGCTAAATCAAAACGTATTATATATCTTTGTAATTCATTATTTTATTTTATTTATTTTAAATTCTTTTTCTTTTTGAGACGGAGTCTCACTCTGTCGCCCAGGCTAGAGTACAACGGCACCACGATCTCGGCTCACTGCAACCTCCGCCTCCCGGGTTCAAGTGATTCTTCTGCCTCAGCCTCCTGAGTAGCTGGGATTACAGGCGCCCGCCACCAAGCCCCGCTAACTTTTTGTATTTTTAGTAGAGACAGGGCTTCACCAGGTTGGCCAGGCTGGTCACAAACTCCTGACCTCAGGTGATCCACCCTCCTCGGCCTCCCAAAGTGCTGGGATTACAGGCATGAGCCACTGCGCCCGGCCTTAAAGTTTATTTTTAATTAATTATTATTAGTTTTTTAAGGATAAAATCTCTCTATGCTGCCCAGGCTGGTCTCATCTCCTGGGCTCGAGTGATCTTCCCACCCAGCCTCCTGTAGCTGGGATTACAGGTGCTCACCCCCATGCCTGGTTTGATCATTTTTTTTTTTTTTGAGACAGAGTTTCATTGTTGTTGCCCAGGCTGGAGTGCAATGGCGAGATCTTGGCTCACCACAACCTCTGCTTCCCTCGTTCAAGCGATTCTCCTGCCTCAGCCTACTGAGTAGCTGGGATTACAGGCGTGAGCCAACACGCCCAACTAATTTTGTATTTTCAGTAGAGACTGGGTTTTTCCATGTTGGTCAGCCTGTTCTCAAACTCCCAACGTCAGGTGAACTGCGGGCCTGGGAGTCCCAAAGTGTTGTGATTACAGGCATGAGCCACCACACCGGGCTGATAATTTTTGTAGATATGTACAAATTGCCCTCCAAAATGGTTGAACTAGCCTGTATTTCCAATACCAATGTACGTATGCCCTATTTCCCTACACCTTAACCCACAGTATTATCAAACTTTGACATTTTTGCCAATCTGATAGGTGAAATATTACATCTCATGTTTAATTTTGGACTAAAAGAAAATGAACTAGCCGGGCGTAGTGGAGGGCGCCT